CCGGCCTCTCAGCAAGTCTAGCCCTGGCTCTCCCAGATGATAGATAAATTGTGGCCCTCAGTTAGTGTTAACAGAAAAAAAAAACTGTCTCTAAGCTAATCTCCAAATGCTCAAAAAGCATTCATGGTTTTTTTCTTAATTTTGTAAATAAAATTAGGTTAACTTCTTTCTCAGGTGCGTTTCTGAAGTCCTACGATTTGAAGTTTTAATGTACAGATTACCAAGCACTTCCGTATCATCACCGTTTTCAGGAATCACAGCAGCTTTTGATTTCTCTTACAGTGTTGACCAAATTCTTGGGAAAGGACAAATCACATCAGATAAAAGAAGTAGAGAAAAGAATCCTGCAGAGAATGAGACAACTGATGACCTCAGTATGTTAGGGCGTGTAGTCAAGGTGGAGAAACAGGTAGAGTGATTATCTGTGTTGCTTTTTCTTGCTCTGTTGCTCACACCTTTTGTGTATTTTATCACCAGTTTCAAAGGCTGAACAGGTAATTTTTTTTTTTTCTAATATCTCCTTCATTTACATGTTGAAATAAAATTAATACAACTTGTTTTACCTTAACTTTCTTCCATGTACAGAAAAGGAAGGAAAAATCACAGCTTACTAATTTTTTCCCCTGTTATCAGCTTGCTTATGAAAAATCTGCATGGCTTTTGATAATCTTTTTTTTCAAGAGTCAATAGAATATACCAAGCTCCTCCCATTTTTCTCTTCAGCAGTAACATTTTCCCTTTGCTTGGGTTCCAAAAATTTTATATTAGTGTTTGGCATTAATGTTAACTTTTTACTCTCCTCCTGTAGGTACAATCCATTGAGTCAAAGCTGGACTGTCTGTTAGATATTTATCAACAAGTTTTGCGAAAAGGATCTGCATCCGCGCTCACTTTGGCTTCCTTTCAAATGCCAGCTTTCGAGTGTGAGCAGACTTCTGATTACCAGAGTCCCTCAGACAGCAAAGATTTGTCTAATTCTGCACAAATTAGTGGATGCGTATCCAGATCAGCTAGTGCCAATCTGCCTCGTGGCCTACAGCTTGTACTGACACCAAATGAATTTAGCACTCAGGCTTACTATGCTTTTAGTCCAGCTATGCATAGTCAAGCAACGCAAGTGCCAAACGATGGACCTGCAACACTTACCAATACATCACACCAAATAAACCAGGCAACTAAGCCAGCAACTCCAACAACATTACAAATACCACCTTTCTCATCAATGAAGCATATCAATAGGCCTGAGCCCGTTCATATTATTCCTGTAACCACACAGGAAAATATTTCTGATGTCACCGCTTGCCTTGTTGCATCAAAGGATAATGGACAAGTTGCACAGCCCAGTGCAACAAAGGATCTCACATGGAGAAAAAGTCTGGATACAGAAGGGGAACATTTGCTCTCAGTTAAACCTGTGGTGCAAATGGATTTAGGAAAATCTTTATCTGTACAAAACCTTATACAATCAACAGAAGAACTCAATGTACAGATTGCTGGCAGTGACTCCAGTGGTTCCAGAGGTAGCCAAGATGTATACTCCAAATGGAGGGAGTCAAAATTATTTATAACTGATGAAGAGTTGGAGACAGAGGCAGGAACAGAGACTACTGAAGCCATCTCGTGCCCGTTAGTGGAAACAACTCTCTCTGCTGACTCTCTAAGGACTGGAATATCAAGATCATCTCAAAGTATTTGCAAGCCAGGGGACGGTACAGAAGCACTCAATCTTTTCCATGTCAAACTTAAATAACAGCTTGTGGGCTTTCTTCATTGGCTGGGTCATTCCTCTAGTCATACATATCATCGCATGAACTGTTTTGAAAGCCTTTTTCATAAAAGAAAATCACAAAAATCAGGATGAATCTGAGAAGCAGTTGAATGAGCCCATATCTCCTAGTTGCATGAAAATGCATGTTTAAGTGATGGCTAACACTCAAATTTACACCTACAGTACAGCAGTCTTTCAGGTGGTACAGTAGGTTTAAATGATGAGTTGCCTACAAAGCTAATGCTGCAGGATGTATCAAAAAGCAAAAATTTGAGCATTTAGACCTAGTGCCGTTTCTACAGGGCAGAAGTGAAAATCGTAAGGTTTAAAGCACTTTGCTTCTGAACTAATTAAATATATATATATAATGTCCTGATTTAGATGATAGTTTATGTTTACAACAAAAAAAAAATTATCTACAGCTGCTAGCAAGGTACCAAGGAAACCAGTAATACGGGATTAGAAATGGCTGCCAGTTGCAAGATACACTCATTAGCTCATCAGTAATCAGTTATTTTTAACTCTGAAAAATAGTATGTTAATATCCATCTGATTTTGGGTGATTTAGTGCAGTGGCAAAAGCACCTGACACCACTATCACCTTGTTCTTTATAACAAGAACATTATATTTTGCTACAAAAAGTTTGTATTTTAAGGATCGGGGCTGGCCTGAAGTGGATAACCTGGGTGACTGCACTAAAAATTCAGGGGAATCCCTCCTGCTTCCAGTCTCATTGAGGAGCTATCTTGTGAATCTGAAACATTCTGGCAGCAATAGGTGAGGGAAGGAAGCAGGTGCTGCCTTTATTGTAGAAGCAATATTTCCTTCTGTGGAAATTTTGGCAATTTTCCTCGCAGTCCCAACCTGATGCCATGACAGCACTTCATAAGGCTGGGAAAGGAGAGAAAATGAGGAACTGAAATACAGAGTAAAACTAAAGAGGATAAAACAGGGAAGAGAGAAAGACAACACAATAATCAATAAAGAAAAAAAAATAATATGGATTTAGATGGGCAGGAAGGGAAATGATCCAAGAAAATGAAAGAAGGAAAGTAAAGAGACGAAAAGATTTATTTTTTTAAATCTAGTCCATCAGTCACAGATACTGAGTGCTATTTCCAAAAAAACCAAAAACCCCCAAAAAAGCCATGTAGGCAATCTGAAATGGAAATAGAAGTAGGGAAGACCACCTTAAATGAAAAAAAAAAAAAAAAAAAAAAAAAAAAAAAAAAAAAAAAAAAAAAAAAAAAAAAGAAGGCAAGGAGTTTTCTGTTTGTTTGTTTGCAAAGCAAACAAAAAGAGGAGGAAGAGAGAGGGGAAAGTGGTGACACTCATAGCTCAGCACTGTGTCCCAACTGCAGTCATTTCTTGTGAACTTCCCAAGAAAAGACTTTCAGACTCCTTCCTTCTAATTCCTGA